GTCTGCGTTACAAATGCTGTTCACTACCTGTCAACATGCACTTTAGCAGTAATTAATTATAATACACTAGTGTATGTATGTGTGTGTTGGTTTTGTTTTCTCGGATGCTGGTTCTTTGCTTACAGTCCCTCAACACAGTCTTTATAATTCACCCTCGGCGCGCATGCGCAGCGAGGGTTACGGTACTTGGGTCTGTGTGTCTGTTACTCTTCATCTCACTTCTGGAGTGTTCTTTCGTCTCACAAAGGATACCACCTACTGAACGGGCAATGAAGGTCAGACATTTCGAACGGTTTTCTCTGAAAACGCTCCGTTGCAAAGCTAGAGCGCGAAAAAGCCAATATGCAAATAGGCAACGGCTTACTACGTCTACGGGCATGATCGATCCGCGTGCTCTACGTACCTCGGAGGCACCAGAAGATGCAACGCAGGGCGTGTATCGCCTCTCGCATGCTATCTAGTAGTGTAGTTAGCCCGCGTCAGACTCTGCGCGAGTTGGCAAGAGACCAAGAGTAACAGCTAACTAAACCCAGCCCATGAATTAGTAGTACTGCGCATGCGTTTACTTACGCGTGCGCGTCATCGTGCGCCGAGGGTTTGCACTTCAGTGTTTTTCATTTTTCTCATTACCACTTTCTTTACATCGTCCTTGTAATTAGTTCTCACTGTGTTGTAAAGCATATTATAATAATAATAATAATAATAATAATAAAGCAGAAATTACTGCACTAATCAGTATACCGTTTTACGACAAGCTTTTCAAGCGGTTAAAATTTTTATGGTATTCGCTAGCAAAGCCAACGTAAACCCTCAGCGAGAGTTAAGGTATTTAGTTTGAGTGTGTGTGTCTGTCTGTCTGTCTGTCTGTTACCACGTTTTCTGCCGCCACGTGCAACAAGCTGACCAAATAGCGACACCAATGAGATCAGCGATGCACTGGCTTGATTTTGCGAATATGTAAAATGCTGCATTCAAAAGTTATACCCTGAAAACCAAGTTAACAATGCAATTCAATTCCTATACAGTACTCGCACGTCTCATTTGAACTTTTGTGTTAGGGTTTTGCAAATATCCATGGGAAGAGAAAATACTCTGTATTTGGTGGAACATAAAACATCAAATAAACTACAAACTTTTAGTTGCAGTGTGGCGTCAGATAATCACATGTACTGTGAGTATATAGCTAAAGACAGTCCTCTTCATCCCGAAAGGTGTGCTTAATTATGAGCAGTTTGTGTGGCCCAATCCCTTCCAAAGCACGTGGATAGTCTTGATTATAACAAATAGCTAGTAACAACATTCTCCCACGCTCAACAAACTCTCTCACACACACACAACACACACACACACACACTCTGCAGTGTTCAGTGGAGATGCAGCAGATCCTGCGACTGGCGAGACGAGTGGGTGAGACTGTTTGCCACCATTCTGGCCCCGGTCCCCCATTCCCAGTCCATCGATGTGGAGCCATGTACTGAGAGAAACATGGAGGGGGTCCAAGCTGAAGTTGCTGAAGCATGTATGTTCTATTACTGTATAATAAAGGGAGCAAAAAGTTTAAATATAGTAGCTATTCAGAAGAATTTGGCATAAAGGCAATGTTTCATAAATGGAAGTAGGCCTGCGCATGTAGTGCACTAAACTTAAGTTCGTAAAAAATAATATTTAAAGAATTCACAAAGGTTTTTTATCCCAACATAGTGACAGTAATAAGGTGTGAACCAACATTTTTGCTGCCCGTACTTTAGTGTCCCTGAAGAGTGACTGCTCATTCATTCCTCACGAGTTTGCCTGTCTAGTGTCGGCCATTTTACTCTGCGGATAGCGCGCATGCGCATTATTCGCAGTAGTTTACATCGGCGCGCATGCGCATCGAGGGTACTGTAGTTTGGTTTGTCTGTCTGTCTGTTACTCTCAATCTCACTTCTCGAATCTCTGTTCGTCTCACAAACGATACAACCTACTTAACGGGCAATTCAGAACTTTCGAACGGTTTTCTCTGAAACTGCTCCGTTGCAAAGCTAGAGAGCGAAAAAGCCAATATGCAAATACACAACGGACAGCACGGCTTACCGCGGTCTGATCGATCCGAGTGCTCTGCATACCTCGGAGGCACTAGAAGATGCAACGCAGGGCGTGTATCGCCTCTCGCATGCTATCTATCAGTGTATCTATCAGTTTACTTACGCGTGCGCGTCACAGTGCGCCGAGGGTTTGCACTTCAGTGCTTTTCATTCAGCCACATTATAAACACGTGCATGACCATTTAGTACTAATTGCCACTAGTCTATCGTTCTAGGGGTGATGCTTTAGATCACTATGGTTTCACTAGCCAAGATATTGGCTAATTCCTGAGTGTGATTAAGTCTCATGCACACACACCAGACTTGGAGCTACCAGGTGGTGGTGGGAAATCAAAGAAGACCAAGACCTTCTCCAAGAGCGAACCAGACACACCCACACCCACATTGCAGTCTGCAACACCAGACTATGCGGCGGGGCTGGGGGTGGAGTTTCCACCGGCCACACCCACCTCGTCTCGGGCAATGCCAGGGGACGGAGACGTCACTGGAGGGGCAGCATCGACCTCGAGTAAAAAGGGAGCACTGGAACTGGCTTTGCAGAGTCCCACCACATCTCTGGCCAGTGACTCTCAGAAACCTCAGGTTTGTTCTAGTATCTCGAATGTTGAAAGTTTACTTTTGAAGTAAGTGAAAAGAACTTTGCCGGTTTTCTATTTTCACACTGCCATTGACTGTGTAGGCTCTCATAACAATGATATATAGTCATGCACCATAGTGTTAATCTTTATGCATAATTGAGGGCATGTATCAGTGTATATACAAGGGCACTTTTTAGAGAAGCTATAGCTACCCAGTGCAGGAATGAAATTACATAAGTTACTGTTTTTCGTAACAGTTTCTAAATGTAGCCCTTGTTCGGAGAATGACGAGACCTATTATTCCTACAGAGCTCAACTACACCTGTTACACCATTCTACTCTCTGACCTCGCCCACATACCAGCCGTATCCCAGGGCAACGGCCATTCCCAGTGGCCCCATCCCGCCCCACATCAGTCCCTTCACTCCCGGCACTCCCTCCACTCCCACCCTCCCAACATACCCCAGCACACCTCAGCCCAAGCTTAAAGTCACTGTGAGTTGTGAATTCATTGCAACGGCATGTGTACCATGCACCACCTCACCCTTGGTTTGGTCATCTAGAGTTTTACAAGAGACATTATGCTTCCTGGCAGCACCTATTCCAGTCATGCATACATCTTAGGCAGCTGGATAGGAAGTATTCGTGTGGTTATATGTGACTGTGTATGCCGAAACTAGGCATTTGCTTTTTGACTCTATTGTAAAATGTTAATCAATATCTGATTATGCACTTTGCTCTTTATCTGAATGAAACGTAAGTGAGGTCTGAAAACATGGAAGGCGCAAAGCGACAACACCCATGTGGACCTGTTCTGTCAGTATGGGACACTAACCCTTTGGACACCATGGGTGTCTGCTTAAATAGGCAGAAATTAATGCATGAATTATTAGCGTCTAAACTTATGGGCTTATGGAGATCATGGACGCATTTGTGTCCGTGGCTGGTTAAGTGTTAACATTTTACATGTACTAGACCAGCAACAAACCAAAGTTGCCTGTGTATTTGCGGCCCATAGATGTACATGTATGTTCAATTAAAAATGACAAATGCCTGGTTTTGGCACACGCGTAAGTAAACGCATGTGTGGTAAGCTTATCACTAATTGATGGGCTGGGTTTAGTTTTAGGTCGTGGTCTCTTGCCAGCTCACACAGTCTGACACGGGCTAGCTACACGATAGATAGCATGCGAGAGGCGATACACGCCCTGCGTTGCATCTTCTAGTGCGTCCGAGGTATGCAGAGCACGCGGATCGATCAGACCGTGGCAAGCCATCCCGTCCGTTGTGTATTTGCATATTGGCTTTTTCGCGCTCTAGCTTTGCAACGGAGCATTTTCATAGAAAACCGCACAAAATTCTGACCTTCATTGCCCGTTAGGTATGTGGTATCATTTGTGAGACGAAAAAACATTCGAGAAGTGAGATATTGAGTAACAGGCAGACACACAGACAGACAGACAGACAACCCAACTACCGTACCCTCGCTGTGCATGCGCACCGAGGGTAATAAGGTTCATCTCTGAATGAATGCTCACTGAACTCTAGCTACACCACTCACCTGTATCTCTCCCAATGCACACTGCGTCAGCAGCTCCTGATAGCCCAGGAGATGTTCAAAGGGAGGCAAAATCTTACCAGAGAGCACAAAGCTCTCATCCTTGGTTTCATGGCCAGAGCCAGAGGTCAGTTACTGTCATTAATACAAGAGTGTACATTGTAGAGCATCCCTTTAGATATTGAACCTCTGTCCAGATATTATTGCAATACTGCCTCCACTATGCAGCTCCATTACTGTATGTTACAGAGTATACAGGTCATACCTGTGATTCACACCTTGCCTCTTTGGAACACACACGCTCACAGATTTCTCACGCATTGATGTTCTTTACTAGCAAGTCTGTACTTATGCGTCTCGTTACTAGCCACCACCAACAACATGTGTACACGGTGGGTAACACCCGTTCTTGCACGTAATTTTTCTTCAATGTACTCCAGAAAATTTCATCAAATACGCTAGAAAATATTGTTCTTCTGCAGAAAACCCATACCCCAACCGTGAGGTGGTGACAATTAAGCTAAACGACAGGGTGCAGGAGGAGAGTGAGGGGAAGAAGGTTCTCATTGAGACAGTCTTTGAGATGAACTACAAGACTGGGATGTGGAGGAAACTCCAGTACAAGAGACCTCATCAGTGAAATAGTTTTACCACTGACAGTAAAGTATGACTAAGAGCACATTGGGTACTGAAGGTGTATGAATGCATGAATTTTATTACTCTTACTGTTGCACTGAAAAGTACAAATAAAGTGCTAAATATTTTAACACACTTAACTCGTATGCACAATAGTTTAGTAACGTGAACGTGAATACACAGCAGTGGCCATAATCTACCTTACTTAAGTATCTTATTAACACTTGCATTATATTTACAGCTCCTGATCCATACACATTGTACGTATGTACCCATTGGATTAAAAAGCTTTTGTCATCACTTTAAGAATGTGAGAAGCATTAAGGTTTTGTGCTAAATGAAAGTAAAACTTAGGGAAAAACAGTAAACCATGATGTGTGATAAGTTATTTTAGAAGCTGGTTGTAGCTTACTGAGTCATAACCAAATGGGATTTGTTTGCTAACTGTTAACGTAAAACCCCCGAGAAAGAAACCTGTGGAAGTGTGCAGTGTGGTCCCAGCCGGCTCTATAGTATTGGTGTTATACCAGAACCTCAAGGGGAATATTACAGTGGTGTACGTGCGTATAAGGGCTAAATGCTAGTAAACATGAACCTAATTGTGTTCTTACACTACTACATAAGCCTGCTTTCAGTTTTATGTTTAGTTACAGTTCTAATATAGTACGAGATATGGCTGAAAAAACGAGCGAAGAAGGCAATGCTACTGCGACATCGCAAACTGTAAGTACTGTCATGGCTGTGTGCAGGTACTACAAGATGGTCACGTTCACACAGGACCATGTACTGGGGATATTTCTAACTGAACTGCTGGTTTGGTGCCATCATAAGAAGCTCCAACACAGACTAGCGGAGAGGGAACAAGAGTCTTGTAGCAGTGTTGCTGTAGTTCGGTGGTTCTTGCGAGAGGGAGAGCACAAGATAAAGTGTCTGCCAGAGAGACCCAGTTGTGTCAGCTCCAACACAGACTAGCAGAGAGGGAACAAGAGTCTTGTATATAGCAGGAGAGCACAAGCAGCAGGAACTTGTCTACAAACAGCAGTCGACTGATTCAGAAATTGAGTGTCTGAAACAAGAGGTGTATGCATTGAGACTGGAGCTACGTCGTGCAACACACCCAAAACTCTGAATTCCCCATCACTTACCACATCAAATTCCGCCGGGGGAACATTTTCTTGCCACCATTCGTCACACACCCACACGGTTACAAGCTGTGTCTCAGAGTATATCCGAATGGCTTTGGACGTGGAAGCGGAACGCATGTCTCGATCTTCATGTACCTTGTGAAGGGTCCTTTTGACACAAACCTGAAATGGCCATTTCGCGGAGAGCTGACTGTCGGGATATTAAACCAAGCTGGGGACCATGATCACTGGGAAGATACCACTGATAGAAAACTGGGAGGGATTTTTGCAGTTCAAGTCGTAGGGAGAGAAAGGGCAGAGGGAGGGTGGGGTTTTGAAAAGTTTCTCCAACATAGTGCTTTGCAGTATGACAGAGTGAAAAACATCCAGTATTTGAAAGATGGCCACTTCTTCGTTAGTGTCGTTTGTGTAAAGTGTATGTGAACTTTTTATCATAAGTGTACGTATCTTTTTGTTCATAAAACAATTGAAACAACACTTTTGGGGTACTTATAGAAATATTTGTTGCAGGATTACAGAACATGTACGATCAAGTTTTCGCCCTGAACACCATTTAACAGGTTGAGAATTGACACGTGCAAAATCTCAAAGCTTTACAGTTCCATCAAGCAGGAAACACAAACCAAGGACCCCATATGATCTTTCTGTCAAGGCTATAACAACTTAGATATTTTTCATGGAGTTATGTGTAATGATATTCCACTATATAAAATTGAGTCGGGTGTATACGTACCTCCAAATTGGGAACTACTGCAAGAGGAAGTAGTTGAAGAGTGGGGATAAAACTGTCGATTTTTGCAGACCCTGATTTTTAACCCTCGATGCACATGCGCAGCGAGGGTTAGAGTGTTTGGTTTGTTAGTGTGTGTGTCTGTCCATCTGTCTGTATGTATATACCAAATTTTCTGCCACCATGCACAGCAAGACCACAAAATAGTGATACCAAAAGTTTCATGGCGAATATCGACTCCCACATGCTATCTTGTAATGTAGAGTAACTAGCCAGTGACAGACTCTCAGTGAGCTGGCAAGAGAGCAAAGTATAGTAATCAGTTCTACTATAACACACAACAATATTTTACCGAGTTTGAACAAAATTAGCAGCTATAAAAGTAGAGCAACCAGACAACAAAACAGCGATACCAACGGGTTCATCGCTAAACTGGCTTCATTTTTAAAAAGGCGATTTTCGTAACTACTGCGTTCAAAAGTTCTGGCGTGAAAAGCAAGTGAACAAGCCAATATGCAAATTAGCAAAACCTCGATATGTATTCGCTGCGCATGCGCGCCAAGGGTTAATGACTAGGTTACAGATATGTGGGAGTGAGCAAAGCTCAAGTAAATGGCCAGTCCATGTCAAAGTATGCACCTGTGCAGAATTTAACTCACCTCACCCCTGACGAGGTCTTTTAGCATCTTCAACTGCCGCACCGTGTAGTCTCGCGGGGCCACACGTTTCGCGGGTGCAGAGAAACCTTCCCCCTTGCCCTTGGCCCCGCGACACTACGTCCCGCGCACCTCCTGCGCACGCCGGTGAAAAATCCGAGTAAATTAATACTCCGTCCGACACATACTTAGAGGACCGAAAATCCGAAGTAAATCCGAAACTTTGGCAGCACTGCTAATACACCACTGTTTTTGCCTACAGTCTCTCTGTACCTTCATCGTCCATGGCGACACGTTCCTATGTGTAGCTACCAATTCCTGTTCTATCACGTGTACATGCAGAGTCAGAGAACAGTTGTAGTTGAAAACTGTACAAGTACATTTGCCTTTACATCAACACTGTGTTAGTGTTCAGCACAAACACTTCTATTTACTCATGCTTTTAACCAGTACAAACTTTAGAACTGTACCATGTTTTGAATGTCACTTTTAAGTAAACCTTTCTCCCACCATTTCATTCAGGCACTCTTTGCTTTCAATGTGTACAATACCACTGCACGCACTAACAGTACTTTGTCTCTATATTGGGAATCTCAGTCTCCAAAATTTCACTCCAACGCCTCCACCAAATACGGAATTGCCCATTTTTAAACTCCTTAAGTGCAGTACATTGGAGGTGAACGATTAGTGCTTGTCAACAGCAACGTCAGGTAGAGAGGCAAAGGCAAAGCAAACAAGTGAAATCAACTCTTTTGTATGTATTGCTGTCAATGTTAGGTAAAATATACTTGCAACTTGTCATGCAATATACAATGTCCACATCTGCATGCAACAAAGCCATTGTGTGAAACTTGGATGAAAATAACAAAGGTTACTACTTTTTACGGTTAGGACAACCTAATTAAATTTAAAATTAAATGGGGGATTGTCTCTTATTCGTAACATTGCACACAAATCACTTCAGTTCATTCGTTCGGAGTAATGATGAAGCAGCCCCTCTCTTTCACTATTGGCTTCATTTTGAAACCTGTAGCAGTGCGACGTAATGGTTTTCAGCACTCTCCAAACTACATAACTCCAGAGTACGATGTGAGGTAACAGCAGAATTATAGTCATGAATACTTTGGCAGTATTCTCTGTCTCCGGCGAATGAACAGTTCCTACCACCAACAAACTATCAAGGACTAGAAGTCCAGCTGTTAGTATATTAGAATTTCTGTCTTTGTAAGGCTGCTGCCATGTACAAAAAAAGCCAATCACACAAAAAAAGATGGCCGTGATATATGCGTCTATGAATGTTCTTTTTGATGGACCGTAAATTATTGCAATGATGGAAATTAGCAGGCAGAGAAAAGGGCAAAAAAGAAGTAGTCCCCAGCCGCACAATGATCGATAATCTCGAGTTCCATCTGTACCATCTTTGAAACAACCGTTAAAGGTTTCCACATATGTTTTGATTCTTAGCCTCCACTTTGGACTGATCGAGTGACTGATCTTCCTGTACAGTGAGGTGGGGTACACCACTAGGATGATGAGAGGTGGAAGAAAGACAAACACTGCCACAGCCGTTGAAAATACCATCAACAACACGTGTTTGTTGGAGCCAAAAGGAACATTTGGGTCTATGTATAGTAGTCTTATGTGTTCTTTTACTTTATTGTGTCTTACGTCACTCCATTCAAATGCCTGCCAGATAAGATAACTGAGCCTGGCATATGACAAATAGAACAGTGATGCAAAGGCTTGAATCATGGATGATCTTGGGTCCCAGGCTCTGTAAAACTGCACATATACTCTGCTGAACAACTTCCACAAGTATACAACGGGCGCAAAGTTTTTTCTGTGCATTTCTATCACTGCATAAGTCAGCAGCAATAGTACAAAAGGATAAACAGTGGCCACGAATTCTAGGAATGGTATGTAAAACTCTTCTATGTGATGTGATATGCATAGATGAGGAGACACGAATAGCAGAGCATCAAAGCTCCATACTGCACTTAGAGTTAATGCTGCCTTTGCTGCGTTTGTGATAGCATCATGTGGCTTGACAAAAATCCACAAATCTAACCTGAAATAGATCACTGACAAATTACAGAAGAGTACATAGCTGGCCATTGGTCCCGAAGTAATATTTGGCCTAAATATGATGACAATTAGAAACATCCCCATGGATGGCAAGTATTGTAGTAGGAAGTAGTAGAAGATATTAATAGGACTACATGGAACACATTCAGTTCCAATGGAGTACACTGATGGCCCTGTGCCATTGGTGCACCTTCCACACATTGGACCTTTCACCTCTCGACTTAGATTTCCACACACCACACTGTTTAACTCACTGACGTTTGCTGGGAGGGTAAACATGCCGTTCTTTGTTGCATGCACAGGAAAGAAAAATAAGCACGATGTAGCACTTATAGTGTCTTCCTTGCGGTTGTAGAAAATGCAGGAGCCTTGTGAGATTGAAGATCTCTGGCTTTTTTCATCACAATGTATGAAGTTTGGCAATTCACTTAGACAGTCACAAGAGTCTGAGGTATTCACCCATTCAAACCATGGAGGACACTCCTTCACTGCTTTAGCTATACAT